TGCTGGAACATCTCCCCTAGAGAGAGGCCGGGGAACGGAATGCTGCCCGTTTTTCTGCAGCGTCTGTCGCCAGCGCGTCGTCGTCGTGGCGCGCTTAGCACTTCTCGAAGTTTTGATGCCATCCATGTGCCACGTAATGTACAAGTTGTTGTCAGTCTTTCCTAGAAAGACACCTCGAAGCCACATAGGATCACCTTTCTTCCTATTTCCTGCACGATTGGTAAGTACGAGCAAAGACTCAAAACAAAAAGAGATTGGGCAGGAAAGAAGGACGCAAGAAGATCAAGTAGTTCATAAACAGTGTTTATAGATGGACAGGTAATTTATTCCTTCCCCAGGAACCAGAAGAGCGTTGCCCTTAGCTCAGAAGAAGCAGAGTACTTTGCAGGAGCATCAGCAGCTTCTGATAGGATACTCTTTTAAAGGAAGCAATTGAGTTTCTCACAGGAAAATGTGTCAAGTACACGTGTGCCTCGATTCTTTAGCAGGTAGAGGAATAATCGCAATTCAAGGTGTAGGAAGAGTCAAGCACTTGCAGATTAGGACCTTATTTCTTCAGGACCTCCGCAAGCAAGGTATTGTCAGTATTCACCCTGCAGGGACCAAGGAGAACACAGCCGACATGGGAACCAAGCCCCTTTCAGCCAAAAGGATCAAGCTCTTGATGCATTGGTTAGGATTTCAGGACAGTGAGAACAAACCTCCAGGAGCCGAAGAACTTAAGAACAAGCCAAAGCAAGCGTCATCAAGAGCAAAGGAAATTTTGCGTTTGCAGCTTTGTTGTTTTCTGCGATTTCAGGACTTTCGGAGAGTCTTTGTTTGCAGACTTCAGGAACAAGTTCAGGACCGTTCGTAGGAACAGACATGTTGCAGGACCGCATGCGAGCTGACGCGAGTGCATGTGAATTAGGAACAGTCATGTTAGGACAGGACCGCATGTGTGCTGACATGAGTGACTGCGAGGTAGAAGTAGGAACAGGAACAGTCTGGACATGTGCAGGAACCTATCTGCGACCGCAGATGTTCACTTCTCTAAGAACTGTGGTAGCTCAAGAACCACCAGAGTAGAAGACGCCATGGAAAGTAACCCTAGGACAGCGAGTTCGGGGACCACCTCAAGTGGAAGTGGAAACCTGGCCCTTCAAGGCCAGCAGTTGCAGGAAATGATGGAGAACCAGAAGAACACGAACGAGCTCATGGCGACGAGCAGAGAGGAGCCCGGGAAAGTACCGAGAGCCATGGGAGAGATGACAGAGGAAGCAGACAAGGCCAGGAAAGAAGCAGAGGAAAACGCCTCTGTGCTGGCAGCAAGGATCATGACCTTGGAAGAGAAGTGGGAGATGTTTTGGCAGGAAGAAGAGAAAGCAAGAGAGGAATGTGCCAAATACTTCCAGGAGCAAGAGGATGTGAAGAAAGCCCTTTAGCAGGAAAACGAAAGGTTGAAGGACAAGCGAGACCGCCGAGAAGAACAAGAACTTCGCCGAGCAGGACATGGTAAAAGAACTACTTCGCCGACTACCTCAACTACCAGTTCGCAGGAGAAGGAGGGAAAAGACACAGGAAAGGAGGACCTAAGCCAGTACGACGCAGGAAGCTCTTTGAACGCTTGGAGGAAGAGGAGAATGACCAGGCACTCTTCGAGGAGAACGAGAACGAGTACTACACCCAAGGCTACATTGCTACACAGGACCAGAAGGAGAAAAGGACTACCGACAGGAAGAAGAAGAAGAGCCAGGAAAGGAAAACGACGAGAACATCATGGCCAAGATCAAAAGAGTCAACGAGGAAATCCACATGAAGGCCGAAATGTCAAAGGAAAGAGAAAGGAACTTCGTGTACCCGACGGACATGAGCACGGAGTACAAGTACTACACGGAGAATGGAAACAAATGGCGACAATCGCGTTTGACCGGCGAAAAGGAATGGTACGACTACGACTGCGCGTACGCTCGCGAGAAAGGACAAGGCAAGGACAAGTACGACAGGAAGAAAGGAAAACCCAGAGACGAGGAAGACGCAAAGTACTGGGAGCGCATGGGCAAGCAAGAAGAGGTAAAGAGGAAGAAAAGAGAGCAGGACAAAATGATGAAGGAAGTGAGGAAAGACAAAGGAGGTTCGCCAGAGAGACGCTGGAAAGGGCAGCAGAGGAGCGCACCAGGAAGCAGGAGGAAGCAGAAGAGGAAGAGAGAAGGAAGAAGAAGGAAGCTGCAGCAGCAGAAGAGGAAAGGGAGAAGAAGAAGGAAGCCGCAGAAGCAGAAGAGGAAAGGAAGAAGAAGAAGAAGGAAGCCGCAGCAGCAGAGGAGAAGAGGAAGAAGAAGGAAGAAGAGGAAACAGCAGCAGCAAGCACAACAACACCAGAGGAAGACCGACTGAAGAAGCTCGAGAACCTTTTGCAGACCCTGGTGCAGGAAAAGCAAAAGGACAGGGAGACGATCGCCAAGCAGGAGCTTGAAAGCATGACAGGAAGCACAAAAAAAGGAAGCACAAAGGAAGGAAGCCCAGAAGGAGGAAAGAAGCAAGACGAAGAGGACCCAGAGGTGAACAGGACAGGACCACATGAGTAGTCAGCTTTTGTGATCGGAAAAGTGGACGAGGATCAATGCCTCTATGCGATCTACGAGTTCAACAAGGAAATGTACCAGTGGAAGTGGAACCAGGAAACGTGTTTCTGGTACTACTACGATTCCTTAAAAGGAAAAATGGCTGAAGCAGCAAAGAGACAGCAAAGGAGGAAAAGTCGTTGAAACGCAGGAAAAGAAGATCGACGAGATGAAGGCAAAGAAAGGAAAAGGCAAAGGAGAAAAGAGCACAGCAGAGAAGGCCAAAGGAAAAGGAGAAGAAGAAGCAGAAACAGGAGGAAGTGCAGGCAGTGACGACCCGCGCTACCAGTGAAGAAGCAAAGGATCAAAAGATCAAACAAAGAAGAAGGGTCAAAAGAAGAAGCAAAGCAGGACCGAAGAAACAAAGGAAAAGAAAGCGTGAGACCGAAAGGTCAAAAAGTAAAGTGAGCAGCTTTGCACAGCCCTTTTTCAAGGACAGTTCCGCAAGCACTCTAGGAACTTGTTTTTGCGTGGCAAGGATGATGATCCAAGGCACGAACCCAATTTCGTTGTACTGTAAACGAACAACTTTTGTACAGTAGTAGCAACCTTGGAGAGGATTGCGAGTGGACGTGTACCCGTCTGCGACAAAGGAAAACTTTCGACAGGGTGTTTTGCAAAGGAAAGGAGAGTTCGAAGCCAGCTAAGTCTGGAACGATTTTACCCGACTTCGAAGGCGGGGTGTTAAACATTACTGCCAGATAGGAACACACAGTTTGCACGTTGTGTAAATGTAAGGGAACGACGTGAGCGTGCTTTCGCACCAAGGCTCAAGGACCCAGACACACCAATGCAGTGCAGGCAAAAATGTGCCGCAGTGCTGAGGTTCACAAGAGGCAATCAGGCTTTGACGCTTCTGTCGAAGCCACCCTAAACCCGGTCACTATGGGGTCGGGGTTCAAGATTTAGGGTTTGGAGTTCGGAAGCCCGACAAAAGCCAAAATTAAAGACGAGTAGGGGATGAGATTCCCCTGCGAACAGACACGTACCTCAGGAGATGTCCTCCTTGGAAGTTGGTAAACTTTTCAACCCAAACCTCCTTATAGCTCGGACCCCCCTCCCCTAAACCCCCCCACCCTCAACTCCCAAACCCGAGACCCAGGCCCTTCACCCCGAACCATAGGCCCTAAGCCCTAAGTCCCTTGATCCTCTCAGCAAAACGCAGCAGCATGGTAGATGGTCTCTTCGAGTATATCTGAACAGTATATATGACTAAGAAATCAGCAGCATTCGATGCGGGGCTCGACGCTTGGTTCGCGGTTTGCTGCGAGCCGTCCATCGATCTTGGATGGAATTACCAGGATCTAGACTTGGTTGATCATGCTCTGAAGGGATAAATTTCGTGCTTTGTCACCTTTCGGTTCAAGCTGTTGCCATCAAGCTGGTGCCATGTTGCCCACTGCAAGGCAAAGCCAACTCCATTAGTCCCTCATGGAGGAGACCAGCCTGAGAGCTGTGATGCAGCAGATCGAGCAGCTGATCCAGAACCTTTTGGGTGAGCGCGAGCGGCTGCAAAGCGCCTCGGGGGGGCCGCACGGCGGTTCTGGGATCCAGACCGAGGAGCTCGGACGCCGGGGCTCCGTGCACTCCGTGCAGCTGAGTTTGCCGAACTCCCCGCGCAGACCCTCCATCACTCACACCCCGCCTGGCCCTCCGATAACTCCAGGCTCGGTGCCTGAAGATGCCGCCTGCCCGAGCCCGAGCCTTCCTCCGATGGACGTCTTGGGATCCCATCCGCAGCCGCCGAAGAAGAATCCGAAGGCCCTGAATCCCCAGTTGTCACAGGTGTCCTTCGCATCCCAGGCATCGCACCAAAGCCGGCAGGTCACGCCCAGTGACGACGGCACCGTGTCAGAGCGGCTAGAAGGCTTCGATGGCTTCAAACTCCAGCCCGCATGGGCTAAGCGCCAGCAGGAGCAGAGCAGCATGCGCATCAAGCCCGTGTCATCCACCGCTCGCGCACCGACGCCGACCGCAGTGACGCTTGTGCCTGCAAGAGCTCTGCCACTCCTCGCCGGGAGTCGGATCTCTATCTTGCTGGACTGGAAACCGCTGCTCGGTTCTTCTTAAGGAGCTTAGTTTAAGCTATTTAGGGGATCTAAGGCAAATGTTAGTGTTTCCTGACCCTGCCAGCTTAAAGATGGATAAACCCTAAAGCCTAAACCCAAAAACCCTGAACCCAAAAGCCTGAAGCCTAAAGCCTAAAGCCCTGAACCCTAAAGCCTAAAGCCTAAAGCCTAAAGCCTAAACACTAAAGCCTAAACCCTAAAACCGAAAACCCTGAACTGAACCCTGAACCCCAAAGCCTCAAGCCTAAACCCTAAAACCCTGAACCTTAAAGCCTCAACCCCTAAACCCTTGAAACCCTAAAACCAAACACCGCCTTCTGAGGCTTTGGGGCCTCGTGGCTGGAGCTCTGATCCTCTTCGACTGCCTCGTCATCCCACTCCTCGCCTTCCAGGTCCCGCTAAACCCTAAACCCTAAACCCTAAACCCTAAACCCTAAACCCTAAAGCCTAAACCCTAAACCCTAAAGCCTAAAGCCCCTAAACCCCAAAGCCCCTAAACCCTAAACCCTAAACCCTAAACCCTCTAAAGCCTAAAGCCCCTAAACCCTAAACCCTAAACCCTAAACCCTAAACCCTAAAGCCCCTAAAGCCCCTAAAGCCCCTAAGCCCCTAAACCCACTCCTCGCCTTCCAGGTGCGGGAGCCCTGGGCCTTCGACTTGAGCCTCGGAGAGTCGGGGCTTAGAGGGTTTTTATAGGGGTTTCTTTATGGGGGTTTTGTAGGGTTTTGTAGGGTTTTGTAGGGTTTTGTAGGGTTTTTTTAGGGTTTGTAGGGTTTTGTAGGGTTTTGTAGGGTTTTAGCTTCCAAAACGGCTTCAACCCCAAAGTCCCAGTTTCCAGCGCGAAGTGAGCGGAAAACCCAAAACCTCATGCATCCACCAAAGCTTTTCGAAGCCAAGGATTCGCATCCTCTTCTGGTCGCTGAGCTTGCCCATCATCTACAGCTTCAGCTCGCAAAGCGGCTGCCTCGGGTCCAGTGACCTGACCCAAACAGCGGTCAGGCCTCTCGATAGCGGCACGAACTTCCAGTAAAGCCAGGAAGTGTTCTGCAGGGTTACCCGCCAAGCCCTAAATCCTAAGCCCAATAAGTTTTTGGTACATAAACCACACGTTGTACTCGTCAGATTGAAGGTTTACTCCCCTGCAGCTGTGCGACTAGTGGTTCGATCATATTCGGTCAAACATCGCTGACCCGGCATTTTGCCGCTCAGCAAACCCTAAGTAAATGCTAGGAAGAAGAGATGAGCTTAGCCGAGAGACTATGTTTGTGCAAGGAAGGATTTATCCTACTTTTCTGCCGCCGGGCTAGGGCCCATCCTAGGCAGAAAACAAGGGACGGGTTTACTCCTCGAACCTGCAAAAGCACAAGGGCGCTTATATTCACTGCTTAAAGTCTTACAGTGTTACGGTTGTGTTTGCATGGTGAGGTGCACCTTTGTTGTAGTCAGGGTCTGCTTCTGCCTCACGTCTTAACCCGCGACCCCTTCAACATCCCTGCACCCCCGAGCTGCCATGCCCGAAGGGAGCCGTCATGAAATGCAAAGACTCCAAAGTCGTACCATTCAGCAGTCAGAACGGTAGACTCTCCCTGGAGAGCCAGGGGGGCCCCTAGACGAGAAGTCCGCAAAACACCCCAAAGCTCAGGAGCTTTGGGGGCTTTCGTCTCGGACGGGCTTCTGGAGGTGCTGCTTCTGGTGCTGATCCTCTGCTCTCTGGCGCCCGGCATCAGAGGATTTTGTGGACGTTTCTGAACCGCTGCACAGGATCAAGGGCCTCTCGCAATAGGAGGGGCTGTGCTCCGGGAGTTTTTAGGTTCTTTTAGTGACATAGCTGGCTTGCCAGATGCGAAGAATCGGAGTGTACGGTCAATCCCCACTCGCACAAACTGGGGCACGGAAAAGCTGGCTGAGGCTGAACCCTTCAGCGACCGTGCAATGATACACCCCCCCAGGACAATATGTCTTTGACTCGAACAAGCCTTAATTACGAACTTTGACACCCAGCTTCGAAAGTCACAGCATCGAGCTGCGATGATTTTGAAGGTCATGACGTGCATGATGATGATGACTATGATGATGACGATGGCGACGGCGATGATGATGATGATGATGATGATGATGATGATGATCACGACAGACATGAGCATGGTGATGGTTCGCTAGCATCGAGATCGTCCCCACCGTCACCATCATCATAGTTCAACACATCGTCATCACGAGCGTCATCATCACGTTTGTCCACATAATCAACATCATGAGCATCTTCAGCATCGTCAGCATCATCACAATCACCATCTACGCCATCAACACCATCACTATCATCACTAGCATCACTAGCATCATTAGCATCACTACCATCACTACCATCACCCATCACTACCATTACCATCACCTCCTCAGCCTGATCACCGTCACCCTCATCACAACCGTCGCAACCATCAGGATCATCATCCCCAGCCCCGTCACCATCACTAATGGGACTTCCGTCCTCGGCGGGTCCTGTCATAATGTGCAGGGCGAGTCGCTCGACGCAAGACCACGCGGGTGTGAGGTGGTGGCGTACATTTCTTTGCGCTGGGCGGCAGCGGTCTCAACCCGGACTCAAGCCGGAAACGCGGAGAACTGAATCCGAAACCGTTTATGGAGTGAAGCACTCCGAGGTGCAAGGCAACGACCTTTCTTTGGAGGCTCAGTTCCTCCTCCGGGGCCCCGAGCCGCTCGGAGAAATGTTGCACAAAGGTTTGGGGTCCTTTGGTTTTTTTCTTTGATTTAGGGTGCCGTTTTGTGGTTAGGGCTTGGGGGCCGAAATGGTTTCAAGGGTGTTGGGGGCTCTCTGCTGAGGAGGGGGGAATCTTCTTAGGGTGAAAGCTCGCACTGCTCTGGCCTTCGAAGAGAGGTTCGGGGCTTCAAGCCTTCAGGCCATAGGATCGGGACCCACAGATTTTCCAGTTTTGCCGGTGTTCAGCGGAAGCCAGACCGAAAGCCATAGTTACTTCGCAAAAAGTTGAATCACCGAGAATCGCCCCACACCTTGTTGAAGAAACCGAAGCACCGAGGCTACTACGCTTGCGCTACGTGAAGAAACTCACCGGTGTTCGGGGTCTTCCGAGGCCCCGGATGTACACAGTAAGTTTGTAAGGACTGCAGTAAGAACCAAAGCAAAGCAAAAGACTGCACTTTGTGTAGGATGCAGCATACCGCGCCCCACCTGCAGCATCTCACCCAAGACCACCATCAACTCCCGCAGACACACTGACTCCTGCCAGTGGCGTGCAGTGGACAGTGGAGCACCTCCTTCATCCTTTAAGGACCCACCGGAAGCGCTCCCCTCCCGCACCTTAACCCACACATGGAGCCCTCCTTCCGAAGAGCCTAAAAAGGCCTACACCGACCTGGGACCCGAAGCCAAGCAATCGACACCACCAGCAAGACATCACCGAGAGCGGTGGCACCTGCTCAGGTGGCTGGTGCGGCAAAACCGAGGCAAGAGTTTCGGGCCACCAGCAGCAGCAGCAGTAGCAGTTGTAGGGTTCATTTCTTGTGATCAGAGCAAGAGGCAGAGAGCATCACGTCCCTACCCCGGATTTCTGAGAGTGAGGTTGGAGGTGTTTTGCTCTTTGAAAAGAGTGCAGTGAACCTCGACCCTGCCCCAAAACCCAAAACCCTAAACCCCAAAACCCAGACGTCACTCGAAGGCGAGCTGCAGAGGCTCGAGGTGCGCGCGGCCGCGAACCTCCTTTACACCCTCCTGGCCTGTGCCCGGGACTCCCCAGCCCCCGACGATTTAGGGCTTTATAGGGTTTTGTAGGGGGTTTTTAGGGTTTTGTAGGGTTTGTAGGGTTTAGGAGTTTTGAAGGGGTTTGTAGGGTTTAGGAGTTTTGAAGGGGTTTGGGGTTTAGGGTTTAGGGGTTTAGGGGTTTTGAAAGCATTGGTGCTCCCTTGGTTTCCTAGGTCTTCACAAGCTTTGGCACCTCGCAGGGGAGAGTTTTTGAGCACGGCATGCAACAGAAGCCCCCAGCCAACAGTCGAGGCGCCTAAACCCTTTAGCCCCATGGAGCTACACGGCCGGAAAACTTGGGATTTTCCCTAAACCCCAGACCCCAAATTTTAGAACCTGTACACCCCAAGCCCCATAAATCCCAAAAACTCAAAGCCTAAATCCCAAACCCCAAACTTGAGTAATCCTAACCCCCCAAACCCCTGTTACCTTAACGCCCACGCCCCAAAACCCAAGTAGCCGTAGTAACCCTGAGAAATACATCTTCAACGCCCAGTGAGCCCCAGTTCCCTAAACCCTCATACCCCTATTTCTCAAGTAACCCTCTGGGCAGCCTGTAACCCCTAAACCCTAAGCCCTTAAGTGCTTTAAAAGCCGAAACCCCAGGATCCTCTAAAGCCCGAAGGCCTTAAACCGTAAACCCTAGGCCGTAGCAGGGTAGCCCGTTTGAGGTCTCATCGGTTTCCACCTCCTGACCTGCGCCTGGTTTGCGGCTGGCCAGGCCGAGGCAAGGGCATATAATGTGTGTGTGTGTACATAATATACATATTATATATATAGGTAAATAAGTAAGTAAATCAAGAAGTATACACATTTTAATTCAATGGCACTATTGAATTATATATATATATATATATTT